CAAATACCATTGCCCGACAATGCAGACATTGGTGAAAACATTGTGACTCCAACATTCTACAACCAATGCTCCTACACTGTATTATCCACTAGCGAGATTTGTGTGCTTAATATGCTGACACAAGAAGTGTACTGAATCCTGTGGTGAAGATGGTGAATTTTAATAGGCCATATGGGCTTAATCATAGACAGTTCAAAGACATGTTGAAAGATACAGACACATAATCGCAACATTTACCATAACACACAGCAATTAGATGGCTAAGTTACGAGAACGTTCTGAGCTAGTTTTTAAGTTAACCCTATACTGTAGCCATATGGCAACGTACCATTTTGAACACACACAAATGTTTAATTAAATATATACACATTAACTATAGTGTTTCATCCCTTTATTATAATCTCCCTAACAAAATAAATGCGAACTCTTTTTAGCAGAATTTTTTTTTTCCATTTCCGATTTCATTTTCTAGAGAATGTGGGTCAGCTGATCACCATCTGAGTCATTTGCATGCGAGATCACCAAAGACCTTATGCTGCATTTTTAATAGCGGTTTTTTTGACTTGGATTCTAAGGCAGAAGAAGTGAGACTGTTTCAAAACCCATTAGAAGCAAATGTGGCCAGTTGCAAAGATGAACTACAGCTGGAGATCATTAGAGACACGTTCACAGAAGGGCGGTTGGGTTTTTATAAGTTTTTGCACAAGGAAGACTTTCCTAATACTAAAAGTTCTGCATCAAAGTACCTTTCAAATTTTGGAACAACATACCTGTGTTAACAAACATTTTCAAGAATGAAATACGCGAAGAATAATTTGACAGCAAACTTGGTCCTAGAATGTGTTGTCGTATATATTTCTATATTTGTATTTATTTCTGAATATTTCTATATACATTATATTTCGTTGTGAGGGGGGGGGAGTGGGGCGGTAGACGTTCTTGGGGGGGGGGGGGGGGGGGGCTCCACCACACTGAAAATATGCCTTGAAGAAACTCTGGCCCCCCGAACTGATATTTGATAGTTAATGCGGCCCTCGGGCTGAAAAGTTTGGAGATCCGTGATATATACGTATATATATATATATATATATATATATATATATATATATATATATATATATATATATATATATATATATATATATATATATATATGACTAGTATAGTTACAAAAACAACGTAATAGTGTCTGTCAACAAGGACATGTTCAAGGCCATAACTGAACTGAGTTATTTATAGTTATGATACAACTGATATACTCTGGTGTGGCTAAAATAGAATTTTACTTGTCAACTTGAAGACAAATGGACAAGTTATTAATAGAAACGACGCAATAGTTGGTACCGAAGTAGAATAGTTTGACCTTGATAGACATTGTTGACAACAACGGATGCACATCTGCGTGTGACTGTGGGTATGAGAGAGCGAGAGCAAGACTGAAGATGTAGAGCGAGACAGATGTATGCAGAAACGTAGAAACGTAGAGATCGAAGATGTGAGCTGAGAGACAGAATATGTGAGATACAAGTGTTAGTAGATTGAGATACGGAGTGATACACTGTGTGGGCCTGTGACAGTGAAGGTCTGTTGAGATTCACCTAATTATCTGAACTGTGATTATTCATGTAGAAATAAAGTGAAGTAATATTGAACCTGCGGGCAGAGTGTGCTTCTTTATATCAGGTGGGTGGATCGGAACCAAATGAGGTGTCCTCGGCCTAGATGTGGGATTTCCTAAGCCGTTGACGAATACCTACAGACAGGAGTGTGACCTACTTAGGTCTGGTAATGTTTATTTTTACATTTGTTTTACCATATATGGTCTGTGGTATAATCACTGGTTTTTTTCCACTGTCTTAAGAAAGTCTTAGACTCAGTATTTTTCCATTATGAGATGATTGGTTGAGTCGGACCAGGTGATACCCTTATGATTTGAAGGTGACCTTCCATGTTGCCTAAGTCTATAAATAGACCGCGCACAGGTCTCTTGAGGCAGTTATTTGACCAGACATCTTTGAGAGATAATAAGCCCTGTGTGTCGCCGTGTAGTACTAAGTTGTTTAAGCAGCATATTCTTATATTACTTATGGTTAAGTAATACTATATGCTTATAGCAGTGTTGTGTAAACTGTGGTGATTTTTCTGAAGTGTTAAAAGCTGTGATAGTGTATCATGTTATTTTTTCCCACAAATTGTAAGTTGGGTTTTGGTCATTCTGTAAATCTATTTTATCCTGTGTAAATCTAGTGTCCTGCCACGACTTTGTACACTCATTAAAAGTTATATGCAGATTAAATGTATTGTTGGCATCAGTAGTTTCTCTAGTGTTTCCCCTAGACATCAAGTACGAGTCCTAGTGAACTATTGTGTTAGCTTTCTTTTATTTAGGCTTGTCGCCATCTGTGTATAATCAGTTAAACGAATCCGGGAGCGTTCGCCAACTATCTGGCTGATAAATTGGTGCTCGTTACAGGAGGCTGTACACGCCTCTGTCGCACTT